AATCTAGTAAAAGGGTAGAATGTATCCTTCTCGCTCTTATTTCGTATCAATGCCCTGGTTACCCAACTATCAAATTAACGATGTTCCGGAATTCTTTCAAAATTTGGAATTTAAATAATAGTAAAGCAAAAGAAGGCTGTCACTGGAAATATGATTTTGAATAATGACATTTTGAATAAAGGATTTCTTTATAAAAATTTCATTTATGCGTACAATTTAGCTCAGCTCTGTTTTTTGGCTATAAATATCTTTCTTTCGGTATTTTATACCCCGTTGATATTTACTTTTCTTATCTTTAATAGTTAAACAAAGTAAAAGTTGAAATATCGCCCACAGAGTAAATATTTAAGTGATTATGTTTATAAACCTTTAAAGATGTATTAATTTATGTATCAACACATGACTATATTTGATTTTGTAATAAGATTTAACCCTATGGGGCCCCTTGTTGCATATGTAACATGGTTTCTTGTACTTGATGTTTTTCCAACCGCGGTTCAGCGACTAATCACAATGTTGACAGAGTAATTTCACCGGAATTTTACGACGTGGTTTCACCTTGTCAGTGGAGCAGGACGGGGGACATAGAAAGGAAAAGTGTCTAGTCATTCGGATGGGACAAGAAATGTCTGGGCAAATTTCCCATTATATAGCACACTGTATTGCCGTTGTCCCTCTTCATTAGACGGGTTTGTGAAGCAAAGTACTATACTAAACCCCATTTCATTCATTCATTCATTTATTTTGGGTTCCAACCTACTTATAACCTAGAATAAACATCATTCTAAGCGTTTACCATCACAAATCGGTTTTACTTCCAGTTTTGTTTTTCCTTTTCTTTAATTGAGATTGGCATGGTAAAAACGCACTAAATTATCATAAATTTCCAATGCATATCTCCGAAAACTCTTCATGTAAGTGTGGCTACTACATTGAAAATACAGAACACTTTTTCTTCTTTTGCCCATTGTACAAGGAAGAACGAATTCGTACCGTCGATAATTTCCCCCTACCATTTCCACAATATTTCAGCAATTCTTGACGAAAACCCGAACGTAAATGATTGTAAGAACCAGGCCTGTTTTGAAATCGTTCATTCGTACATACGTGCTAGAAAACGATTTAAACTGATAAAGTAGTGATCAAATTGACTAAATATATGTTCGATTTTATGTTTATTATGCCATGTCTTCGTAGTTTTAAAGTAGAATATATTTTGTTATGTTTTTATAGTAGTATATGTTTTCTTGTGTTTTATCGTGGTATATTGTTTTCATGTTTAGAGTAGTACATGTATATGTTTTGTCATGTTATATGTATATAATGTTTCCATGGAACGCATATCAGATGGACAGGCAACGCCCTTGTAGCCTTTAGAATTCTGTTCCGCGGTAAAATACGTCCCAAAAATCGTGACTAGAAAAATAATTCCTTCCCGCGTTTTTACTGTAGCAACAACGATATGACCAACTTTCAGGCAATGAAATATCATTTTTTTGCGACAAAGTCAAGCCAAATTGTCATATTTCATTGACTGACAAAGTCTGACAAAAATTGGGGCTCTAGAGGGCTCACATACATTTTACAACTCACATCTTGCCTAAGACAAGGGACATAAACCAATAAGTTGTGGACCAAAATCGAAAACCCCAAAATTTTGTTATCCTTAATATATGTGTTAAGTTTACCTAAATCGGACCAACAGTTGTAAGCTGTAGAGGGTCCAGAGACTTTGTACATAATTCACATTTTGCGTAAAAGTCACAACTCAAGAAGATGCGATCTGATACAGACCAACATGGAATTCCTCCAAGATTTTTTGATCGTTAATATATCTGATTTAGACTGAAAATTGTTACTCCCAGAGGATCCACAACCATCGTAATTTTTTCAAAATTATACGTAAAAGGTAAGGGCCATAACCCAAGAAATTTGCGCTAGATACGGACCAAAATCAAACCTTTTCGAAATGTGTCGGATGTGAACATATATTTCAAGTTTCATTAAAATCGGATAACCATTGTGATCTTTGGGTTGTCCACAAATAAATCAGGACGGACGGACGAATATGGGCGACGACATAATAAGTCCACAGGAAAATGTGAGTATATAAAAATATTCTCAATCGGTCCAATTGGTAAAAGTATGTGAAAGAAAAGCCGAAAATGGCAGCCATCTTGGAAAATGACCGTCATTTTGAAAGTGGCTATCGGACAAACACAACTGACACTAATATACTGTAAATGGCCCGACTTAAAATGCGTGATGGGATGATGTGAACAATAATAGATCCCGTCTCGCGATTTCGAAGATATCAAACATTCTTTACATGTTTATGTAACGGATGTCCTATTTGGATATCTATTGCACTAATTACTTTAGTAACGATGTCTGATCGGACTCGTGTCCTCCATCGTTACTGTCTTCGCTATTAACATGTAATATGAAAATAACGCTTTACACCACGTCGGTTCTAAGGCTATTTTTCATCGTAATTCTTCTTATTTCGCCAAAAGGAATCATTTTGCGATTCGAAAACACAAATTCATTTGAATTGGACTGTCATGATGAAACAAGCGATTGTGCATACCGGAGGTCATGGGTTCGCGACAATTGTTAGCCAATATTCAAAGTCGAGGAATGGAATTTTACCGTAAACGAAAATTCTTGCTATACTATTATTGTACACGCTTACCATGCACGCCTTAATAATACAAGGACGGTAGTACTATATGGACCAATAACCGAATAATATGGAGTCATCGCATGCATCGAGTGGCGTTTAACGTCCACTCGACACAGGGCTCGAAATGCTTCAGTAACTAACCTAGTGATTCTCAACCATGGTGCGTGTGTGCCGCCAGATTTTGAATGGCACATTAAGAAAATTTCTCACTAAAGAAGCCAGCCATCTCAAATTCGAAACACTGCAATAAAGTATGTTTACAGCTGTGTTTTTCTTAGTTTGAGTCAGTCTATGTGTCTATGACTAGTGTGTGTCTACGGTTGCAAAATTCAAATATTTTTCATATATATTTAGCCAGGTGTGCCGCTATTCTTTCATGTGTTCCAAGCAAAAAATACGAACCATTATTTAGATTTTGTGAACTTATTGAACCCAGCTGGTTTTGATAATAGATGATATCAACTTTTCAACTATGTATATACTTCTGTTAAGGCACGAACTGGCTATGATCTAATTAAACATGTAGTTAATTGCATATGTCATTTACAAACTACATATTATCTGTGTACAAGCTCCGCATGACTTCAAAGGCATAAGCACTGGTCATTAAGCATACCATGACGTGATAAATAGACAATTGCATGTATGATCATGAGTCTTATTTATTTTGCCTATTGTCGGAGGCTATATAACCAAGAGTTTGCTGACAGTTAAACAGACGAGGCGAAGATGACTCTTTTAGAAACGAATACATGTACTTAAATTTGCGCGACGTGGACGTGAGTAATGTGATCTTAAGTCAATTTATTGAACATCAAGTAAAATTTTGTCCACATGTCGGACAGGTAGTTTTAAGTTTTACTTGCTACCTGTCAAACGTAAAATTCGTCCGTCACCGACAAATAGCAATTCAGACGAAATTAAGTTACTCGTTACTGACCAAACAGTGAAGTTCTGTTTGTTTAATGGCGGCATTATAAGGCAGACTAAAGAAAATGGAATTGGTCTACTTAAATACTTGCACCTGCAAAGTGATGTCACTCGGAAACTGTTCGCTAGTTTTATTTCACGGCAAGATTATGCATCTATAGGGTATTTTGATTACGGAATCGCCCCACGCTCTCCGACTCCTCACTTATTGTAATTGACAATTTTATTCGGGCTTTGTTAATTTACCCCACAAAACAAGTCATTGCTAATGAATCATTTAACAATTTATTCAAATCAAAAATTGAAACAAAGAATTTCAAAACACTCACACGCAATTACTTATCAAGTTGCATTATTTACAAATATGTAACAGTGTGATACTATATCGTATAATTAGGCTAATTCTTCAAACAAACAAAAACATCCACACATTAATAGATATACTCCGTATATGATTTGCATAGTACTAGAGAGCGAGAGGAAGAGAGAGAGGGAGGGGTGGGGTTTCCACTCGACACAAACTAGGTCATTTCGGGACCAACATATGGTTCAATTTTATTTCAATAATTCGCTTGCGCGTAAGGGTTTTTAGCAGTGGGAGGAAACCAAAGGTTGGGCAGGCGACTCTACTCTTTGTCACGTACAACCGGGGAATCGAAACCACGCCAGTTGACTGAATGACAGACCTTATGATAGAACACAAACGCGCTAACCACTGCCCCCCCCCCTCCTCCGCACCGTACTAATAGCTCACCAAAATGAAACTGGCCATAACAAAACAATCGGTCTCTATGCCATCCACAAGCTTTTATAGTTTGATCAAGGGCTATAACTACCACATAAATTATCGGAAATTGTTTGAATTAAACCGTTTTCTTCGCCTGGTGCACTTCAACACTGTATATAAATTACAAATCAACCAAAAAATTGTGTATACATTTGAAGTCAATCGGGTGACAATTCTAGCTATTGGATCTTCCACAACATCTTTCTAATTAATCAAGGGCCAATTAATTCAAAAGACCCACTTCGCCTCATGAACACACACTTAGACACACTGTGTATAAATTTCGAGTCAAGCAGGCGATCCTTTTACCCTCTAGAGGCGGACGACGGACCGGTGGACGGGGGTGAGGACAATGTACGAGCTTATTTCAATGTGGACGCATAAAAACAAACAAGTTCTGATTGAAGTGCGTAATCTCATTCGACGCAAAAGCAACAACACAAATGAACTTTGTACCATATGCACTAAGAGCTTTTGGAGTTGCTTTTGAACCACACTGTCAACTAAAATATTATACACCAAAATTACTAATCTTTACAACGCTTACATCGCTATTAAATTGACGTGCCTGCTGAACATAATCAACAAAACGAATAATTGTCTATACTAACTGTCTTTTATATTTCAAAACCCTTAGAAACAGATATGAATTTGACGATTCTTAAACAGCTTAGGAATAATGGTAGAATCCCTTTAACATACGAAGTGTATTTCAGTTTAACTATGAACCTAAAGATTGGTTCACGCGAGTTAATGGTTTATATTCTTTGCTATTCAATCAATATACAACACATTAATTAATTAACATTTCTGTACATCTATTTACAATGTAAAATCCACGCCATACAGATCTAGAAGGATTGTCTATTGACTCATTGCCAGCATCATAGGTAACATGGCAGCATTATTAGCTCCTCCTCCAGCTGCCAACATCATTGTTAGCGGGCTCATTTCTCCGCCCGACAGCAGCATCATCATCAGCATCATCATATTATTGTTGTTACTATTCTGCTGTGTATCTGCAATATAGAAAGATTAAATTTGAAAAGAATATATATACTCTTCAAAAAAGTAGGGCATATTCAGAAACAATACAAAACTGCGGAAATGCAGTGTATGTTAATAACAGGCCAATTGCCTACATATGAACATAAACAGTTCATATGGGCGGCTTATCTGACGACCCTATTTCACTCGCAAAGAGATACACTGTCAAAAGTGAAAATGGACGTTTATGATTTTTGTCTTAATAATGAGTAATTGCTCCACCAATCCTCAGACATTCAGCAATTCGTCGTGGCATGCTCCTAATCAACCGTCCAATCTCGATTTGGGGCAATCTGATCCACTCCTCTTGCAGTGCCACGGCCAATTCTTGCAGTGTTGTCGGTTGACGTTGACGTCGACGAACACGTCTCGCGATCATGTCCCAGACATGCTCTATAGGGAAAGGTCAGGACTCATTCATGGCTGGTCAAGGCATATGGACAATATGGTGACGCTGGAAGTAGTCATTCACGACACGAGCGCGGTGGGCACGGGCATTATCATCTTGAAAGATGAAACGTCGACCTGCACGTTGAGCAAAGGGCAAAACTATCGGTGCCATGATGTGGTCACGGTAGTACACACCAGTACATATATATTGTTGCATATTCAACAATATGCAAGTCCGTTCTGCCAGTCATGGTGATTCCTCCACACACCATAACAGACCGACGCCCGAATCTGTCATGCTATCTGACGTTAACGTTAGCATGACGCTCATTTACACGACTCCAAACGGTGAAATCCAGACAACATTACACGCGCCCATCGACGACTACCCCAATTTCTACGCTGCCTACACAATTAACGCCTGTTTGCGATGTGCTGGCGAGTTAATAGAGGCACAACACGCTGTCGTCGCGCATGCAAATGGGCTGCATGTAGCCGATTTCTAATCGTTTGGGGTGTAACTCGAATTCCTGTAACTTGGTACCGATTCCACAGTCTGCTGATCACAGACTATGACACATTAGAGAGAGAAATGGGGTTTAAAGTCCACTCGACACAAACTAGGTCAATTCGGGACTAACATATGGTTTAATTTTATTTCAATAATTCGCTTGCGCGTAGGTTTCTTTAGCAGTGAGAGGGAACCGGAGGACCCGGAGAAAACCCACGAGGTTGGACAGGCGACCCTACTCCTTGTCACGTACAACCGGGGATTCGAAACCACGTCAGTTGACTCAATGACAGGCCGTATGATACAGCACGCACATGCTAACCATTCGGCCACCCAACACCCCCTCATTCCAAATTAAACGTAACACACTAAAGCAAAGATACGCAAAAGAGTAAATCTTATGCAAGAACCGATAGGAAAGTAAACATGGATAAGAAAAACCAGCACGCGGCAGTTTTCATCAACCCTTCCTTGAAGTGTCAAATTTGACAATGAACCCCTCCCACGTGTATGGCGCTATTGCGTGTCACACGTACAGCTTAGTGCTTCTGTTGGGGCGATAAGTTCTTCATCTGTGAACATACTCTCAAAGCATGTCAAGTGTCCATGACTATTTATCACATCACAACCTGCACAGGTATTTGCATTTCAATATCCCCTACTTTTTTTTGAAGAGTATATCTAAACACCAAAATAGAAGTATATTGGGCGGCATATTGAATAACATTGTGAAACAAGTTTTATATTATAAGTGGGTGTCATACAATAGACCTTTGTGTGAAATTCAGTAGCTGCTAACGTCTCTATAAATGCAAGTTTCTTCATTCCTCCTGTTTTGATAAAACATGTACAAATATGAAGGAGACAGATTTGATTAATGCTATAGACTACTTACTGCCTGGTGCGGTTACTGAAGAAAGGGATGCCAAAGGCCCGCCTCCGCCTGCAGGAACTGTGGTCACTAGAATAGAAAAACAAAATCTACTGTTTACAAGTATTACGGAGGACAAAGGTTAAAAATGGACAGGTACTGCGATATAATTATTCTTGTCTCTTTTTAAAACCGGTACCATGCACCGACAATCTCTTATCCATTTCATTGTGGACGACCTGATGAGCCAACAAAAATGTGACATAAAATTTATGTTAATTCGATTAGTGATGATGGCGACATTGTTCAATATGAAGTATAATCAATAATGATACTTACTAGCATTTCCTCCTGCATTGGGCCCCCCTGTTAAGCTTGCTAATGGTCCTTGACCACCACTAGGTTGCATTGCTAAGGGTGACAGACCTCCACCAGATGGACCTGATAGGGGTGTCGGGCTACCACCAGACATACCTGCTAAGGGTCCTTGGCCACTGGGCACTGGATACACTATAACAATAGAAAGTAAAGCTTATTATTCGAAAGAAAATAGGCTAAATTTGATATCTATAAGTTATTGAATATATAAAAAAATATATAATACTCTACATCTATTATTTAAAAAAAAGTAAAGACCCAACGAGCGCCCGCCACCTCAACATGCATACATAAGCAAGCACATCAAACGTAAGGGAAAATCGAGTTTCGAAAATGATAGAAGAAAGTTACCATGTTATACTTCAGCTTTGACAGAATCCAGATTTAGCAGTAATCCTGCATTAACTACCCGACCAATCAAAGAGCAATGACGTAGGAGATAAAATAAAGGAACACATCATTATAGATACAACCCAATTCGACTTTACTTTCGAAACACTTGAACAGCTGTCTACTCAGGGTCAGTATTTACATTAGTTTAGATGTTAACGAATTTACCATCCAAATAAACGTAACGAATAAGGCTAACACCCCATTTAATTAGATTGAGACACATATCCACAATACTTATGGACGCACTGACGGTGAGGAGGGGGTGGGGCGTAAGGGGAAATTCTTGCCTTTCCATTGGTCCACTAGACCATTGTATTGAGATTGCGACCAAACTAGATATTTCATAGCTTCCATATTGCAATAAATTTAACAATCCGTTAAATCGTAAGACAAAACTAATTGTAAAATTTGGTGACTAACCTGTTTGAGAGCCTAGAGGGCTACCAATGTCAGTGATCCCGGTTCCAAAGGCAGGGTTGGGAACAGCAGTAGGGTTAGTAAAACCTAATAAAGAATACAAAAAAAATCACTATTTAGCAACAATGAAACTAATAATATTCGATATACCACGACTAGAGAAATTATTATTATATCTAACAAATTTGTGTTGTACTGGGCTGTTTATTGTATCGGTGGCCTTTGCACCGAGGATATCATTTACCCAATACTGCCCTATTAGTTTAGAAATACCTAATATTACTTCTTGTCTTTCATATTATTATTTTGCTCTTTTACATTGAATTTTGAGGAGACCGTATCTCAGTGTAAGCTTTAACATATGACTTACTTGGAGCAGTTGGTCCTGTTCCTATCATAGACAAAGGACCACTTCCAGGAGCAGCAGCATCCCCACGACTAGGACCATACATTATATTTCCTGTTGGAATTGGGGCATTGGGGTCGACTACGTTTCCCATGGTATTAGGATCTGCTAATGTTCCCGGTGGCATGTTACTTGATGCTGGATATAGGTTGTTATTAGAGGCAGGAGCGTCGACCAAAGCCCCCTGTGGTATACCAGTGTTACCCCCTAACGGTTGTGAGTTCGGTACTGGTACTGTCAATATATTTGATGGATTGGTGCCAGAAGCTGTATCGGCGATGACCATTGAGCCAGAATTGGATGGAAATCCAGAGTTCAGTGAAGCTGAAGTTCCAGTAGAACCCGTACTGGATGGTAAACCCAGGGTAGCTAATAAATCCGGGTTCATTTGTCTTGTCTCTCCACTTAATAAATTATTAACAGCATCCATGAAAGAACCCGCATTTGATAGGGCTGATCCTCCTTGTGTACCCCTTCCTTGAATAGTAAAAAGACTAATCTAAGATATTTGTTATTTTGAGAGAAAACAAAGTCATACAGAACAGTTTTAATAATATCAATGTAATAGTAATCTTTATCATTTTCTTTTTTATAGAGATTTCTCATATTGGTGCATTGCCTGAAACTTTATGCAGATTTATATTTTAATCTTCTTTCGATAAATGGTTAATTTCACTTTATTTCATTATTTACTCCTGGTTTCGGGTGGGAGATATAATTTGGCTATCGGCTATTGTTTTGGTGAGTATAGCTTTGGGCAGAGTATGGTCAAATAAATATTACCTGTAGCTACAGGTTGTCCGACTGGTGCCGCTGGGGTGGGACCATTTGACGGTTGTCCACCAAAACCAGCAGCAGCTAAGTCTAGTAAAGATCCACCCGATGAAGCCGTCGGCTGTCCACCAGCCACTACATATTCTGTTCCTCCTGCTGCAACAGTTCTTGTTGCGGCTTGATCCAAATTGGTGACCACTACAAATTTTAAAATATACAGGTATAATAAGTTGATTGGTTGCTTTTTTTGATACATGTCATATTGTAAAAATACCAATTCCAACGTCCTTTGCGCCGGGATGATCTCGTGACCTCCCGGTTAGTGAGCACCCAACCCAAAATAAAATGTTTCCTGTGATATATATTTTTTGGGGCCATAATTCGATATCGGGTAATATTTATCAATATGTGAGGATGTTCTGTATGCCTGTGTACGTAATGGTATATTTGTCTGTGGAACTGGATGTGGGATTTTCAAATGATTTTAATTTTACACTGAATAGTTTAACTGGTTTAATGGGCGTGATTTTGACGGACAGAGTAAATAAGTATTGTCTGTGTATATAAGGAAAACCAAAGTCAAAATTAAACCGTCAGATTGCTTACGTTGAGTTGTTAATGTCAACTTACAGATGTTAGGACATGAGCCCTCGGGGCATCCGCTTGTGAGTTATAGACTGTTATGTTTACTCTTCTATCCCTGTCAGACTGACAATTTTTACTAAACGTGTGAGTGACATTCACATTATTCTCAACGATAAATGTCAAGTAAATAATGTAATAATATCTTTAAATTATTTTAAGTTGAGTTAGCCCAATTTTAGTCTCTTGACTAGGACAATATACCGGGAGCTTACCTGAAGTCTGACCATTGACGTAAATAAATCCCGCAGCGAAAACCTGAAATATAAAAATAAACAGGGGATATTATTTTTGGATCTAGTAAAAGTTTCTTATCCCTCTTTGATACAGTACAACTACTAGTCTGGCAGTAGTTTCGCGTTGATTTTTAAATATAAAAGTACCACAGATAAATGTTAGAAAGGTTTCAGGGTTATTACGAGTAGGCTTTTAATTATTTCTCGACATGTATTAGAAATATTGATGTAAATCACTGCGTTGAACATTTATAGTGGGAGTAGTCTACAGAACTACCGTTTCATGACAATAAGATACAAATATCGGGATAAAATAAATATCTCATGATAGCATACGTCATAAATGACACTTAATATGATAAACATCATAAGAAATGTATAAAATCTGTTCTCATAAATGACTAAATTAAATATTTAACATCATATTTTTGTTATAAAAAGTTGTGAAATAAGAATTTAAATGAACGTATTCCTAGTCTAGGTCTAGATACCTTCCTTATCAAAGGAAAAAGTGTCAAAAATATAGGTTAGTATCTTTTAAATATACATTATGCAAGAGCTAAATCTGTCTATTGCCGGAAATTTCAACGCTTAGTTCTCGGTTCATAAAGGATCAATTTGAATGAAATTTTCGGCATATTGCCTTTACATTATCTAGTTTTAAACTGTTATAGTGAGAACTGCCAACTCGTTATCGAATCTCCCATAATGTATCTTTAAGTTTGAGGATATTCCCTCAAAGACATTTGAATTACGCACCAATTTGACATTTACAAAAATTATTGAATCTAGTGAAATAGTTTTCCCAAAATATAATATGACTAATTTCCGGTTTTGTCGCCTAAAGATGAACGCAAGTATTCATTACATAAACATTGTAGATGGTCAGATATAGCTAAGTAGACATCGAAGTTTATGTAATGTTAATTTTCTTTAAAACTTTTTTTTAAAAGTCTTGAGGATCGCCCCATTGAAAATAATTGTCAGTCAATATTAAATATATGATAAAGCTGGTTTAACACATTCCAAATATAATTTTAACACGGAGACCATATTCCTACATTCCGTAACAAAGATTTGAAGAATCAGAAAGTGATGCAATAAAGGAAAACACGAGTTATCCTTACACAGTCGATTTTCAGCTCACTGATAATTCCCTTGAACTCGACACAAATATATTCATAACTGTATGTTATTATTCAAAAGTCACGTGAATTACAATTTTGCATGCTACAACACGTCGATTGCAAATATGAAACCGATCTTTATTGTAACCTATATGATATGCAGATTAAATTTCAGGCCCGACTGGTATAATTTAAGCCCCTTTGTAATTTTCTGTATTTCTGAAAGCAATGTCTGATTCTTTGTAGTTATCGGTGAAAGGATACACTTATTCTTTCCAAAACACCCCACACAACTCCCCGTGTCCACACAACCCGTTTTTGCTTTACTTTTGTATATAAATACAATTGTTGATATATACAGATTGTCCCATTTGGTGCAAATCTGACCAGAAGTACACATACATCCAAAGAGATCAATGTTTCAATGTATTAATTTACAAAAATTTTTAATAAATCGGAGTTTATGTATTGGGCTTCCTGAGTAAATTATAATCATGTGTCAATAGAAAATTAATAAAAGCCAACATTGTCCCTTTAAAGCGATAATTTCATATTTTCTAAGAAAGTCAAAACATAATTATTTCTCTGTCTTTTGCTCAATAGGTTATCAACTCACTATTAAACGACCATGGGCATTATTTCCCACCCTTAAAAATCATTGACACAGGAAATAATAACACAATCGCCTCCCTTATTTTCCCATTGCCTCCATGCATTAGCTACCTTCAAACGTTGGAATTTGAACTTGAAAATGATATTTTTGCCAATTTCTCAGCTGGCAATTGTGACTTATAGGATTAATAGGATTATTCTTTAACAAGGTAGGACGATTTATGGCTGCCATCTATTTTAAGGCTTTATTTTAATAAATTTTAAAAATATAACTTAAACATGCATTATGCAAGAGCTAAATCTGCCTTTTTCAGGTCTTTCTTTAGGCCTGAAATTTTATCTAAATTATTAATTAGACATTAATTAACCTATCCAGGCCATAATCAACTCTAGATGGCTGCGCTAGCCTGCGATCTTTAGTGGATTGTAAGCCGATTTACTGCATAACTCTCCTTCTCTATTAAACGATTAAGTGGATAATCGAGACTACGCTGTTTATCGTGCTGACTTTAGTAATGATGACCGAGGCTTATGGGAATTTCAGTCGCTTAGTTCTCGGTTCATAGTGGATCAATTTAAATGAAATTTTCACCAAATTGACTTCTTCATTATCTAGTTTTTAACTATTATAGTGAGAACTGCCAACTCGTTACCGAATCTCCCATAATGTATCTTTAAAAATATGAAATTGCACCTTTAACTAACATGAATTTTAACCATGTGTTTATCACTGAGCGACCGGGCGGTCACAGCGATTACAACATAAACACTGTATTGTTATAATTTTTCAAATAGTGTCAGTTTCTTTGTCATCTGCGGAATTTGTAGTGTGGATTCCGAAACTGGACGTGTGTTTAATTATAAAGTGTCTTAACCGAAGGGACATTTTTAATGCGCATGTTCGGCTCATATTTATCTTTTAAGTCCAAGCTATTATTTTGGTCCCAAATATACCCTCAATTAATTATATTACGACAGTTTAATGTAATTAAAGCATGTTATTTTTGTTGTTTTGGGAAGGACCGTGTGTTTAATCATAGTCACAATAAAAATGTCACTTCCTGACATTAACGTGTGTCTGTGAGTATGGCACTGGCTAACTTACCAGGGTGTCCCGAGTTCGAACCCGGTGTTGGCAGACAAATTCCCTGGGGCTGGCGTCTGGTCGTTCGAATAGGACGCACAACCTAGGTATCATGTACACGGTTGTGTGAAGGTAAAAGATCCCATGACAGTTAGAATTCGATGAAGAGTGCGCGAAAACGCCACTTCCCTTAGCAAAATGTCTGGCACGGCACACACCATGGCGCATGTCCGTCTTCATTTGCCCGGTTGGACCAGAAATGTGAGAGACTTTAAACCCCATTTCATTGCTATTCCCAGATGTCTATCGTCCAATTTCTGCGAAGAAACGTGTGTGTTATTCATAGAAGACCTAATATTATAAAAAAAACATTTTTCAAAAACAAGTTTAACCGTAAATACGACCGCGGATAATATAGTTATTACACATTCCAAACATAGTGCCTAAACGATAACCATTTCATAACCGTTTTTAAACCCGTAGCTGCAGATATATTATCTCGGATTGGCGTATCTTTAACGCCAAGGTTACATTATACCCAGATTCTAGGTAGGACAATTTTAGGCATGTGCATCAAGCTGTAAGACATATTTATCAAACCAAAGGCCAAGTGCCCGACAGCCGCATTACTTATAAACATTATGTAGCAATGGTCAGGTCATAAATTTCAGAAACATAAGCTACTTCACAGGTAGTAAACTGTAGAAAATGACCACGGCAGTTAACGGTCAAGATGTTTAACATATAAGTGCAATAATTACAATGCATTTTCCTTTCATAGGTCTGTGGTGCTTTAAATTTAGTGTATTAAGTGTAAACAAGCTTAAAGTAGCTAAGTATCTAACTCAATATCATCCAAAATCTTCAACATTGAAAACACTATTTATTTGTCAAATTAAATAAACATTCATGTTGTGATCTTACCGGAAAAAGGTGGGCTTTTGATATCCAATATTTAAGACAAAATAAACATTTTACCATAGGTACACGAATCGTGTACCATAATGCGCTTCAGCCCCATTTGTATCAAGAGACTCGAGGAACGAGACTAGACACATTGCACCAAATCAAACGGCGTATATGTAGACTGGAATAACCAGACGCTAGAAATTTGCACTCGCTTGAGACTGCCTGGCTTATTTCGCCGAACATAACAGATTTGAAATTGGAGTAAAAACGTAAACCATTGAATGTAAATCAGTTTATATACATTCATATTACAGTATTATATGCGCTGCGACCCACTTTTGTCCATATTTAGGTCCCAAATGTTAGCGATTTAGCTCCTTTAACTCTTAGACATTGCACCCCCTCCCCCCCCCCCCCCACACACACAAATTAAAAGAAAAGGGAAAAAAAAGATATTTGCCCGACTGCATTTGCCCTTCAGTTAATTTCGGCGAGAACATAATGTATCCATCTTATTTTACCGATTTGCGGAATTGCGATCATTTTACTTTCGGTCATATGCCCGACCGCATTTGCCCTTCAGTTAATTTCTGCGAGAACATAATGTATCCATCTTATTTTACCGATTAGCGACCATTTTACTTTCGGTCATATTGTACAGTTGTACTTTTCACATAATTCCTTTACAGTTCACACAAGTATTCTTTTTGTGGTTTCAAAACGAGTTCGTCATGCTTTTTAGCATTATTCATATAATTCCATAGGAAGTCGATGGGGGCCATCCAGGCCTATTTCGTGGAATTAAACGTAGCCTGCATATAAATAGTAAGTTAAATATTTTCTGATAAATATGGGTACTTACAACAAAAATTTTAAGACTGGCCATGGTACCGTCTATCCTCGACCGCATGACAAAAACTAAAGTTAAAATCTGACTTTTAAACCAACATGATCCTTGTCAGTCATTGTTCACGTGACACTGGCTGAATACGCCCCTTTTAGGGGACGCCGCCACAGAGCGACGATGTATGATGGGCGCTAAAAATAGTTCAAAGGGGGCAAAAGTTTGTATGTTAAATGGAGAAACGTCAGTAATAAGACAAGATTAATTTTTATATCAAAGTGGTGACAAGTTGGTCACGTTCTTGTCGTATAATGATGGCAATTAGCAAATCGCAAAAACCAGATACATGTAATTCATGATGGTCAACTGACACTTTTTTATTCATCGACTGTAACATCCAGCATGAATTTAAATGTATTCATCTATTATCTTTCTGTCCAAAATGATTTGTGGCATAGGAAACGATATAAAAGGGGTTAATCCAACACTGCGACTACTTACTGCGGTCTAAAAAATGGAAATCGTGACACACTTTTGTCTAAAGAATGGGAAAAAAGTGTCTTTTAAGAAATCCTTTGGTGTGGTGGCGTGTACATATAATTTTAGCTATATGCGTGCTATGAAAATTATATTACGTTCAAGATTGTAATATTACTTAAGATTAATATATTTTGATACCAATATTTCAATGATAGCCATCTTATAGGTTGCTCGGGAAGGTAAATACGTCACAAGGTTGTCAACGTTCCAGAGACAGAGAGAGAGAGAGAGAGAGAGGCAGGTCATTCCGGGACTAACATATGGTTCAATTTTTTTCACTTGAGCGTAGGTGTCTTTAGCAGCGGGAGAAAGCCGGGGAACCTGGCGATCCTACTCCTCGTCACATATAGCCGGGGAATGGAAACCACGCCAGTTGACTCAATGACAGACCTTACGATATAACGCACACGCGCTAACCATTCGGCCATCCAGCGCACCGTCAACGTTCCAACGTTGTGTCCCCTCTGCTGTTGACAGGTATTAGGGGTATCAGGTTCGAAATGCTATCTAAAGTAAACAGTAGAAAATCATACGTAAAATAGATATGCGTTTAACCTGAACAATTTCCACCTCGTCGACATAGTTTTAGTTTATACTCGAATACAATTTCTTTTCCGGCTGGCATATTGCTGCAAATACAAATTTCGCTTTTAGCACACCGAATTAGCCCTAATGGAGTAGACAAGTGGGTTGTTTTAATGATATGCAGGCGCTGTCATTATTTAAGTAATTTATTTCAGTAATATGGCAGTCGGCAAAACACATTCTTGCATTCGAGAAAGTATGCGATAGAAAATCGTAAATAGCAATTTGAAAATCAAAAGCTGACAGTAGAAAGTAGTAATATGTCGTTTAAAAGATGGGGCAATAAAAAACCAACATTTACAAGAGACCTTGGAAGTTAATGTTGATATTAACACGATGTTAGGAGGAGGAATCCTGTCAAAAATGATGCATGTATTGTTATGTGATTTAAATATGTGTCCAGTGTTGGATATGTTCTCTCATATGGTCTGTCATTCATCAGTGATCCCACTGGTTATTTAGCGTGATTTATGTAATCTTGCCTGATTACTCTAATTTGCATAACATGCGACTACTGTCTGTCAATAACTGCCTGTCAGGAAAGTCCCCTGTGCTAACATAAGAAAATAAGACAACTTTTCTGCGATATCCACACCGATGGAAGCGGACGCTAAACATTAAGCCAGTGTACCTCGAGATCTTCCTTAGTATGTCGCGAAATTTTGAACGGCACACTTAGAAAATTTCTCAATAAGGAAGCCATGCTATTTAACTGATAAAATTCGAAAGACTGCAATATATTAAGTTCATAGATGTGTTTTTCTTTATTTAGTTTGAGTCATTCTATGTGTCTATGACTAGTCTGACGCTTATATGCCATGTTTTTATTTTGCAAAATTCAAATATTTTTCATATATATTAAGCCAGGTGTGCCGCTATTTTTTCTTGTGTTCCAAGGTGTGCCGTTGGCAAACAAAGGTTGAGAATCACTGGATTAGCCAATCAAATGATCTCTTATCGTCTGACACTTACTAACTACTTTCACATCCATCTTTTTTATGAAGCATCAAGACATCAAACTGATTTTCCCGAGAAAAAATGCTCATGATCAAACTTAGTCACGGTATTGGAAGCGGACGTAAAATACAACTAACACACACACACAAACATTAAATGCTGGACACAACAGGCGAGCAGATTTGCCGGCGTTTCGATCATGGCATAAAATATTCGACCGAAAATATTAACATGCTAGATTCGTGCGAATCGTCGTCGCCGTGAACGGTAACACAGACGATTTTTTTCTAGCGATTTTAAAAAATCGGCGCAATCGGGCGAAAAAAATACGCTCCTCTGTGCTTGGCTGAACACCTACATCCAGTTATTGTGTTCCAGAAAGTGTGGCGGACAGTCTGATGAATGAACCCATTTAAAAAGAGAAGTAGTAATTATCATAATTGAGTTAAATAGGTTTCTGCATCGCCTCTTGAGCGACGATATGATCAATGAAAATAATTGGAAATCCTTGACTGCTTCGATTCACTGATTATTAATTAATTTGATTAGGTTTATCGCAATAATTTCATGTCGCAATATTTTGCTTTACGACACAATTATCATATGATCAATGCTAGGTAACAGACAGAACCTTACCCTTTTCAGCTAACATCTTGGGTTTTTTTCTGATTTACACATTACGTATCTGGGGACGTTAGTAGCAGACTTTAGTTGTAAAACAACATTTTTATAATTTGATTTTTTTTTTGTTCGCTTCCCGCCTGCTTTAATTATACCTTGGTGTCACGAATCTGTTTATGAGTACCATGAATAGGTCAACATGACAATGACTCGGTAAACCATGTACATATATTATAACCGCCACTCGCTACCAAATGTATAAATAAACCCCATTTTGACATTCATAAAATCCATTAAATTAATTAGTCTTAAATGACTAGGGTGAAAATCTAGTTAATATTTAAATTTACGTCAATTGCCAACAAAATTTCAACAACATGACACATTAGTCCAAATTTATGTTTGCAATCTTCATAACTTTCCAAAGGTATCAGTCGGTGAACTTTTAAAGAGCTAAAGAGATTATATCTACATATTAAAATTTCGATTACACTAGATATCATTACTCATTGTTGGAGTTCGCACAGCAAACATACTTTTCGCTGGTCTAATGGCAGAATGGGCTTTTACACAAAATTTCGGTCATTTTGAGAGTAACACTTTTGTGGTTATTGTGAAGTTAGTAATTTTATTTATTTGGGCCCAAAACAAGAATGAAACGGATGGATGGTGAATGACGATTTGGAATTTCAATACTTCCTTGATTGTTTGGTATGATTATTTAACTTCCACAAACTGTACGATTATGATCCAAATTATGGCTTTATATTTTTCAATTGGATGATCATTGAACATGTATGGTGAGCGGATAAAGATAAACATGCACATAGAACAAACTGCAACAGATATAATTTCGTTGGGAACTGTCTCTTGTACTCCCATAATAAAAGCGGCCATTATTGGTCTTGGGCAATTTATTCAATATAAATCCAAGATGGGCGCCATATGTCCAAACAATCCTCAACATCTCCGAAACGGTTGACTTTGGAGCAAATAAATGAATTACCAACATCGTAACTCGCGAGTTAACTAATATAAATATTATGGGCACGGAAATCCGCGGTCGTGTGTACACATTGGCGTGCACGTAAAATATCCTTGAACAGTTCGATTTAAGAAATGAAATGGGGTTTAACTTCCTACTGTTCCGCTCCGAACTTGGGTAATGAAGACGGGCATACACATACAGTGTGCTATGGGGGAAATTTTGCCCGGACAGCTGCACTACGGCCTACTCTTATATCGAATTCAAACTGTCAAGGGATCTTTTACGTGCACGCCAATGAGTAAACTGGTTTTCGTCCCATCCGAACGACTAGACAGCTGTCCTTGTCAGTCCCTCCGTCCTGTATCACTGACAAAGGGAACCGCGCCGAGAAATCTGAATGAACTTTCTCAGAGATCATTGCTACGATAGCTGAGTAATACAGGTTTTCTGAATCGGAAGTGACGAATGCCAAAGGAAAACACGAGTCACCTCTCTATATAACTGACTGATGTGACGAATGATAACGGATATACGGGCGAATTCCTGCTCACTAATAATTCCTTCGAAGACCAAAAGTTGTTGTGTGAGACGGAGAGGATATCTGACAATTCATAAAAAGAATTGACTGTCACTAGATACGTGAACACGAAAGAAAAACAGAAAAAGTCCGTGCATTACCATGTTTTTATAAGGTATAGAATGATTATAAACAAGGGAATGTACGGACTATTTCTATTTTTCTCGTGTTCTCTTATCTAATGACATTCAATTACTTTATTGAATTGTCAGGTATCCTCTTACAGTCATATATAACAACTTTTGGTCTCCGAAGGAATCATTAGTGAGCAGAAATTCGCCCGTATATCCGTTATCATTCGTCACATCAGTCAGTTATATAGAGAGGCGACTCGTGTTTTCCTTTGGCGTTCGTCTCTTCCGATTCAGAAAAACTGTATTACTCAGCTATCGTAGCAATGATCTCTGAGATAAAATTATATTTGGAATGTGTTTAACCAGCTCTATCACATATGTGATAATGACTGGCACCAATATTGTCCTTTAATGGCCGCCCCTTGTAAGCAAATAGTGTAAAATAAATATGGTATATCAAGGTTGTGGGCCCTCTAGAGGCCACAGTTTTTATCCAATTTGGATTAAACTTTAAATATATGTTTTTATCATAAAGATCTTGGTTCTGATAACCACACATATCCGAACTTTACTTCCTGGATTATGGCCCCTGATTGGTCGAAAAATCGAGGGCACTCGGCAAACCTCAACAGATTCCAGTACCCTACATCTAATCTCGGCTGTATGACAAAGTCCGCCATTAGAACTACTTTCAAGTTCCCGGATTACAATGGCGTT